AAGGATATTGTTGATGTGTTGTGAGATTGTTAACCATTGTCATAGGGCAACATTTGTAGTAACTGTTAAATGAGAAACTATTTTGTTCTGTAAGCCTTCGTCTTAAGTGAGAATAACAGCACAATTGGAAGAGTGTAGTCAATGTCACTGAACTGTAAATGTAGAAATTTTTGAAAGGGTGTATCTTTGGCTATGTGTATTTTCACCAAAAAAAAAGGTTGAGAAGTTAGAGGGTTGATATGTTGTGGGGTTGTTAACCAATGTCATAAAACAACATGTGTACTACTGTTTCTTGAGAAACTATTTGTTCTGTAAGCCTTCACCTGAAGAACAATAATAAAAATAATATAAAAAAAAAAAAGATGCATTGCTTGGGCAAAGCTGCCGCAAAAGACCTCTTTAAAATGTTGAAAAGCAAAGATGTCACCTTGAAGACTAAGGTGCACCTGACCCAAGCTATGGTATCTTCAAAACGTCATATGCATGCAAAAGCTAGACAATGAGTAAGGAAGACTGAAGAAGAAGTGACGCCCTTGAATTGTGGTGTTGGTGAAGAATATTGAGTATACCATGGACTGCCAAAAGAATGAACAAATCTGTTCTGGAAGAAGTACAACCAGAATGCTCCTTAGAAGCAAGGATGGTGAGACTATGTCTTACATACTTTGGACATGTTGTCAGGAGGGATCAGTCCCTGGAGAAAGACATCATGCTTGGTAAAGTAGAGGGTCAGCGAAAAAGAAGAAGACTCTCAACCAGATACATTGACACAGTGGCTGCAGCAATGGGCTCAAGCAGAACATTGTGAGCATGGTGCAGGGCCGGGCAGTGTTTCGTTCTGTGGTGCACAGGGTTGCTGTGAGTCAGAATCCACTGGCCCGTAACAACAACAACATTATGTCTGGATTAGTAAAGGACTGTCAGGCTTAACTAGAGATGCATGTAGGACCCAGAAAATCCCTGTCCCGGGAAGTTGGGAGACCTGCAGGTCGATCCTTGGACTGCGCACGTGGAGCTTCTTTGAACAAGGAGATTGGGTTAGTTTATCTTTAAATTCCCATCTAGTTCTACAATTTTTAAATTCTAAACCTCAAGCTCTTTCTGGTGGCGGAGTCTGGAGGCAACGAGTGGCCGTGGCACTTCACAACGGGAAAAGAAAAGAAGGAAGAGCTGGTCATCAGTCTTGGACCTCAGGTGGCTGAAAGAGAATTTTTTTTGGTGTCTGCCACATTTTTGCATCCTTCAATGACACGTTTGTCCATGTCACTGATCTCTCTGGCAAGGAAACCATCTGCCCTGCGTCTGGTCGGATGAAGGTGAAGGCTGACGAGATGAATCCTCAGCATATGCCGCCATGTTGGCTGGCCATGATGTGGTCCAGAGGTCCAAGGAGCCGGGCATCACTGCCCTACCCGTGAAACTCTGGGCCACAGGAAGAAATAGGACCCCAGGGCCTGCGGCCCAGTCTGCCTTAAGAAGTCTGGCCCGTTCGGGAATGAAGATTGGGTGGGTCGAGGATGTCACCCCCATCCCATCCGACAGCACCTGCAGAGAGGAGGGTCGCCGTGGTCGCTGTCTGTGAACAGCCCTCCTTAAATGATTGTTTACTGTTAATAAACCGTCTTCTCGTATATAAACTTCAAGTGAGGCGCACGGCTCACTCCAGGCTTCGCCGGACGTCAGCATCTTCAAGGGTCACCAATGCAAAGTAAAGAAGAAAGTTTTGAGTTTATGATTCCTTGAAGGGTAGCTTTACATATTCTACAAATTTCCAGGTGGGTGCTCCCGCACCTTCGGCTGGAATACCAGAGCGCTCAGGAAAATCTAAAGATCTTTGAAGGGAACGCCCCCTCCACTGCTAGGTTCTAAACGTAACAAATTTCTTCTCTAATAACTACAACTCCCAGCACGCCACACCCGAGGCCAAAGTTGATTGGCGGTTCCGCACGGGTCTCTCGCTTTGTGGCAGCTCACCACAACCAATGGAAATGAAGGGTGAGCCCCAGAAACCAATCCTCGAGAAGTAGGGTGGATCCTCCCTGGGTTCCGGCTCCGGCTCCTTCCCTGGCCGACCGAGGCAGCGCTGTCCCAGACCGAGCCGCGGGAGCGAGGTGGGTCTGGGTTCGACCCGAGGTCGCGCGGGGAGGTAGACACAGCTTTGCGGAGAACTCTTGGCACGGCCCGTGCTTTCTCACCGAGGAGTTGGAGGCGGTTGCTTTGCTCCCCCGACCCAATGGGGAGCAGATGGGGCCCTGTGGCCCCTCCGCCCCGACTCCTGTCCCCTTCTCAGGCCCGCGCGGCGGGGCTGCTATTCCTGGCCTTCACCCTCCGGCCCTTCTTTGGGCCTTTGAGTACGCCAGTTCCCCTGCTACTGACTACCTTTGGGGTCTGTCTCTCTTCTCCCTCTCTTCCCTTCCAAGCCCGCTGCATCTCTGAACCCAGCTCCTGTCCTCTAGAATGCTAATACCCTTGGACTCCACCATTGGCTTTTGCCGGCCCCGAACACACAGCCCAGCTTCTTGGGCCCAGATCCTCAGACACCTGATTACAGCCTCTGCCCCCTGTCCCCTGACCATCTACTCGGACCCTCTTTCTCCACTGGTTCTCTATCTCTGACCTGGCGTCCAGTTCCCATGTACGATTCCCTGTTCTTCAACACCTTGCTGCTGGCCTTTGCAGGCTCTGTCCCTCACCCGTTCCCCCCTCACCCCCAGCCCTTGATGTGGCCCCAAAGACCCTGAACTTTGGCCCCTCTGACCACTTTGTAGCTTAGCCCCTTGGGGTCTCATTTCCTTCCCTCTAACCCAGATCCCCAACCTTCATAATCTGTGATCTACAGCCCCATATTCTTGGCTCTTCTTAGACCTGGCCCCTTCTCCGCTGCTTAGCCCCTTCCACGTTTGCTCCTTCCGTACCTTTGAACCTCCTGGGAAGACAAGCTAGATGGGCTCCTTTCTCCCTCAAATCTCTGAAATGTGATATGACAGTGTCTCTATTCTTCAGCTGTCATGGGCCTCTCAGTAGATAGTGGACTCCCCATCTCTGCAGTCCCAATTTTGCTTACCCATCCCGCAAGTCCCAGCTCAAATACCACCTCTTCCATGAAGCTGCCCACCTGTGATCTCTTCAGGGAGATATGCCCATGCCATCTGGACTCCTGTTCCACTGTCTTTCCTTCCTTTCTCCCACCCTCCCTCCTTTCTTCCCTCCTTCTTTCCTTCTCTCCTTTCCTCCCTCCCTCCAATACTAATGAAGTGGTTAAAAGCACTGACTTTAAAGTGATGGGCATAGGTCCCAGTGCTGCCAATTACCTGCTGTGTGCCCTTGGGCAAGTTACTTAATTTCTCTGAACCTCAGTTTCCTTATCTCTAAAATAAGGATGATAGTTGTGAAAAGGAAATGAGATGATTCACATATAGTGCTCAGTGCAGGGCCTAGCACTTGGTATGGGCTTAAAAAAATGTTAACTATTATTACTGGTGTCTGTATAATGTGCTAGGCACTGAAGAGCAGCCACAAAGGCCCTAAGACTGAGGCAAAGTCCCTGTCCTTCTGGAACTTAACTTTCTACACTGTACAAGTTTCTGGAGTTCATGGCCTATCTCACTGCACCAGACCATAAACTTTTTGAAGATGGACACCATAATCCTAATTTTTTTTCCTGTCCCTGTCTACAGGAAACAAAAGAAGTCTGTGCAGCTTAGTAGGCATTTACGGATGTGTTGGGCACTGGGTGTATGTAGCTGCGTGTTTGTGGGAGGGGAGAGTGTATTGTATCTGTGTCTGTATGTGTCTGTGTGTCTGTGGTATGTGAATGTGTGGCTGTATGGGGTGTGAAAGTGTTGGTGTGTGTGACTGTGGTGTGAGAGTGTGTCAGTGTATAGCTATATGTGTGGCTATGTGTGTGGGAGGGCTGTGTTATGGTATTGTATGTGGCTGTGTGTCAGGTGTGTATGAATGCACAGTGTATGTGTAGTGTGTATGACTGGTGTGAGAGTGTGCGATGTGTATATGTGTGGCTGTGTACAGTGTGTGTTATGCGAGAATGAGTATATGTGGTGTGTGTGGCTGTGTTTGAGTGTGTGGAGATGAGCACTGACCAATCAGAACAGCATCATCCCAGCCCTGGAGTAGGTTTTGGAGGCCTCAGCTGTGCTAGATGTTACCTTTTTAGTTGCTAGATTATGGGGCAGTCTGAGAAGGGGTATGGTGGTGGAACACTTCAAAGGGTTCAAAGCAAAGCCTTGTAAACAACTAGGAGAGCCTTGAGTGGTAGAGGCTCTGTTAGGTTCATTTGAAAACAGGCGTATAGATGGATACTTCTAAGGAAGATTTTTCAAAAAAGATTAAATATAAAGGGAGTTTCAGTTAATGTATAGTTAGGCAGAAAAGTCGAACTCATCCCAATATAGGTAGCCCCTGACTTATGACATATTCGAGTTAAGATGAATTGCATTTATGACCATCTGGTTTTTTTTGGGGGGGTACATCTTATTGTCACTAATACGTACTAGATACAATGTTGCAACATGTAATTTACCGACGTTTTCATTCTCAGATGTTCACTCACAGATGTTTAAAAATCAGATTTATAAAGATACTGATAATAAAAGGCAGTAATAATGAAGACTTAAGATGGAGTCATTGGAACGGAAACCCACAGTAACTAAAAGCTCCTTGCACGTAAATTAGAGTCTAGATTTAGATTGTCGCTGATCAGTGGTATTAAGGAGAGTAACGTTATTCCAATGGCACAAATACCATTTGTTGGCCGTGGACAAAGCCAGTGCCTTTGTTGTTGTTGTTTTGCTCTGGTGGGTGACTTTAAATACCTGTGAAAGTTGTCACTTGAAAGTGTGTAAGTAAAGGCATTCTATCCAAGCATTCCGATTAATTGAGGTTTTTTCTGAGGTTCCATCTACCCCTTCAGCCAGAACAAACAATTCCCTGTGGTCTGGTCTGACCCAAAGAATAAAAGTGTCGGCCATTTGTGTTCATTCTCAGGGTTCAGAGATGGGCAGTGAGAAGGAGCAGAATCCAGAACAGCACCTGCCTGAGGAAGGGCAACTGGGTAAGCCTTGGAGAGTGGATGACTCAGATGGGGAGAAAGAGGACAAGCAGGAGAGCCTGTCGGACAGGCTACAAGGCAGCGACCTAAAACCATGGGGGAAAGTCACTCCAGCTGTAGAGTCAGGGGGCCTCATTGCTCGTCCAAGGCCTCAGGTGGACGAGAAGCCCTTTATATGTGCCCAGTGTGGCAAAACATTCAATAATACATCCAATCTGAGAACACACCAGCGGATCCACACTGGTGAGAAGCCTTACAAGTGTTCCGAATGTGGCAAGAGCTTCTCCAGAAGCTCCAACCGTATCCGGCATGAGCGGATCCACCTGGAAGAGAAGCACTATAAATGTCCCAAATGCCAGGAGAGCTTCCGGCGGCGCTCAGACCTCACCACGCATCAGCAAGATCACCTGGGCAAGCGGCCATACCGCTGTGACATCTGTGGCAAGAGCTTCAGTCAGAGTGCCACACTGGCTGTGCATCACCGGACCCACCTTGAGCCTGCGCCCTACATCTGCTGTGAGTGCGGGAAGAGCTTCAGCAACAGTTCCAGCTTTGGCGTGCACCACCGTACCCACACAGGCGAGAGGCCTTATGAGTGCACGGAGTGTGGGCGGACCTTCAGCGATATCTCCAACTTTGGGGCACATCAGAGGACCCACAGAGGGGAGAAGCCCTACAAGTGCACTCTGTGTGGGAAACACTTCTCCCGGAGCTCAAATCTCATCCGACACCAGAAAACTCACATGGGAGAGCAGACTGGAAAAGATTTCAGCTGAAGGAAAGATGCATTTAGAGAGAGAGAGAATGAGAAACCCCAACCTAGCGCAGGAAGATCTTTAGGATCTGCCACTGTCGCCCTTGACCTCAAGCCCTACATCCCACTTTGGAGAGTAGTTTCCTGTTGCCTCTGAAGCAAGAGTCTCTAGGAAGTCCTGAGAACGGACTGAGTAAAAATCTTTGCCTCTTTCCAGGCCAGTTTCTTGCCTTAGAACGTCAGAGGAAGGACCCACTCTTGGCATGACCTCCTTGGGATGAAAAAGAAATAGGGCAGGCTCAGAATATGCTCATGTCATTAAGGCAACAGCCCCTTGGCCTTTGAGGCAATACCCCTGATATGGGCGTCACTGTCTAAAGGTCCTCCAAATTATATGTGAACTGCTTGAGATTAGGGCACACTACAGTGGCTGCTAGTTCCCACCTGCTCTACCCTCGACTTTGCTTCCAGGTCTCTGGGCTTGGAGGAAGGGCCTTCCCATTGGAAGGGGCCTCCTTGACCTGGGGAAGACATTAGAGGTCCTGCGTTAGGAATTAAAGGGAAGACCTCAGGGAGCCAGGACCAGGGACTTTCATGCTCCCCGGTGTTTACTTGTTCCTCCCTATCCCAACCTGCGTCTGTTTCCTTTGAGATTAGCAGTAAAACCCGTCAATGAAAAGGACTCGTGTACTTATTTGGGGCATCAAAGAAGTTGGGAGCTGGGGAGATTGTCCTACTGCAGCCACTCTGAGAGAATCAGACTCCAAGAAAGACAGAATGGGGTGGCTGCTCTGAAAAGCAAAGGAAAGCAGGCTGAGTCTCTGGGGCCTTTGAGAAGGAAGAGGGAAAGGAAAGGAACTAATTGAGCACCCGCTATGTGATACAAATCCTACCATTTACATTCATGATTTCATTTAATTTTTCCCATCAACCCTCAAGGGAATAAGACGAGGAAGCAGAAGTGAGGAAAGTTATAGCCACTTGCTGTGAAGTTCACACAGCAGGTATGTGGTGGAGCCAGAATTCAAACTCAGGCCTCCCTGACTCCGAGCTGATGCTCTTTTCACTATATTCACTTTGCTGGCTTCTGAAGGATGAGGCATATGGGGGGCTGGCCTGGGACCGGGTGATTCCCTGGAGTTGGGAGCCAGGTGGCCTCCAGGTAGGTGGGAAGTCAGTGCCACGCATCAGAACCATTTCAGCTTTATTTTGATCGATTGAGTTTTTATTCTGTGTATAGGAAAAATGGCAGTGCTAGGGAGAAGAGGGTAAGGGGTGGGAGAAGATGAGAGATATCTTAAGACCCATAATGAAAGTCTCTGCCCTTAGTGGCAATAATTCAGTCCCCAAGGCTGGGGCAGCATGGCAGGGATCATAATGGCTTCCTGTGTTACTGACTTTGGCCCGGCTTCATTTGGCAGATTTCAGTATGCTTCCCAAATGGAAGTTTAGTGGTCTCCAGCTTTCCTCCAACAAATACAAAAGACCCTACTGTACCTCTCTGCCAGTCTTTGGCACTGCTCTTCCAGAGTGGGGACCCCATTTGTAGCCAGTTAGCAGAATGTTGTTCTGGCACCAGGCTTGGAACTGACACCATCCATGACCTATCAGGTGGGACCTTGCCTTCCCCGGGAAGGGATATGCTGGGAGCTTTATACTCATCACCTTATTGAATTCTCATGACAGCACTGTGAAGTAAGAATCATCCCCATTTGACAGATGGGGAACCAGGCTGACAGAGGGACAGTGACTTGCCCAGGATTACCTAGCAATAAGTGACAGCCAGGAACTGAACCCACTTCTGTCCAAATCCACAGCCGGTGCTTGTTCAACTATAAAAAAAGATTGCCCCTACATGTGTATGGCACTTTACAGTTTACAAAGCACTTTTATTTTATACACGTTTTCCTGCTTCTTGAAAATATCAACATAAAGTATTTTAAACAGTCACGCAAACTTGCACATGTGAATTGGCACCTAATATCAATAATAAAAATCACCATATATCAAACACCTACTGGATGCCAGTTATTGTACATGCATTAACTCTGATCTCCATAACTATCCTGCAAGATAATATCCCCATTTTCAAGATAAAATCTTGATTGTTTAGATGACCTGTCCAAATGGCAGAGCTGGGATTCAAATCAGGTGTGTCTGATGCAAAGGCCAAGTTCTTTTCATTATGCCCACTGCCAAGCAGGTCTATTGGCCCCTTCTCAGTCCGGGGAGCTTGGTATCATTATCCTTCCAGACCTGGAACCTTAGTGACAACAGCTGTGACTTCTGCTGCCAGTCAGGCCCAGGACCAGTGTACCAGGCACCTGCTTTACTTTGGGACTCCCTGGCCAATCTTATTTGTCCTTTTTTGACCAAGTTCATAGGCTAGCATTTCTGTGTTGGTCCAGGCTTTGGAGTCCTGACTAGTCCATTTATTCATTCACCTGACTTCCTTTTTTTACTTTTTTTTTTCTTCCCTCCCTCCCCGCCCCGTCCTCCCTCCCTCATAATACTGACATGAAAAAGACATGGCCCCTGGATTCTCTGCATACAGGAGATTGGCATGTAAACCGAGAGTTACAGTATAGTTGTCATTACAGTTGTACCCAGGGTACTTGCTACAGGAGACCAGGGGAAGGCCCAGAAGTGAGTGAGACATGGTCCTTACTGCTAGGAGCTCATAGAGGAAGAGAAACTCTCCTATGGACAAGGTGCTGGTGGAACACAGATGGGATGGCTAACTCTTTGGAGGGGAGGGGAAGACTGAGATGATACTTAAATTTGGTCTTGAAGAATAAGTAGGCGTTTACTAAGTGAAGAGAAAGGGAAGATTATTCAGATGAAAGGCAAGGCTTAATGGTTTAGGGGACAGTGAAACATTTGATGTACTGTCCTGTGTGAGGAGGAGATGAGGCTGGTAAGGTAGACGGGCCAGATCATGAAGGATGTTCGAATGCCCAGCTAAGGGATTTGGACTGTGGACAATAGAGAATTTAAAGCAGAGGAGTGACATGATCATCTTCACCCTTCAGGAAGAACACTCTGACTAGGGTGGACGATGAACTAAAGGGGCTCAAATAAGTTGGGAGAATGCTGTATGCATAAGCCAAGTACCAGTTGGGGCCCACCTGACCCACAAAGAACTGTGTATGACTGCCTCAGAGTCTTGCCAATTCCACAGAATGGGAAAATCAGTTTCTACCGATTCCTGGGATTTACATTCTCATGATCTCTTGTTTGAGGTTACTGTGGTCTATATAACCCTTCTCTGTTTTGTCCCCATTAGCCCTATCGCTGAACTTAGCACCTTTATGAGTTTCCACAAGAAATTCTGTCACACCAAGCATTTTCTAAGTTTAGAATTCCTTTAGTGATTGGGAGTCTTGGGAGGGGTCACATCATGGAAGTCCACTAGCTTCCCCTCTTCTCTCTCCTCCCATCTCTGCCCTTACCCCCTCCATCCTAGATTGCTCCCAAAACTCCAGATTGTCTCACTCACTTATAAAAATGCTATTTAGCTTTCCTCAGCCCTTGTTGCCAATTTGCATACCCCAATTCATCAAGAAGCTCAGCAGAATAAAGGCCTCACCATATAACAGCATCCACCCACCCCAGAAAGCAATTGAGGTTGTAAATAGAAAATACAAACAAACAAACAGCCCCCTTGGAGATTCACAAAGCAAGTATATTAAAGGTTCAAGAAGCAGTCAGCACAAGTGATTGTTTCCCCTTCCTTCTGAGTTCCCATTAAAATAACTGAAAAGGAATATAAACAAATAACAGCAAAGAGAATGGCAGGGAGGGAGACGAGCAGGTGGTCATCAGCAGACCAGAGACTTCAACAAATTTCTAGAAGTAGATGACACATATTGATGGCTCAACAGAGTGGAGGAAGCCACAGCCCAGAACATACGCTGTGGAAGTGGAAGCCAGTGTTCTTAGCAAAACCCTAGAGAGCTCTGGGCTCATAATCAACAGGTACTGAGGACAGACACAAAGAGTGGACCTACAAACTGGAGGGGGTGGGGGATACAGAAGGTCTGTCTATACAGCAGCTGAACCAGTCACCTCCCTTTCACCTCCAGTGTGGAAAATGATTGGAATTTATCTCCAGGCAAAACACACACACACACAAAACAAAAACCCAGAGGGCTCATTCTACAGAAATCCAATAAATCTCCAGGAGAAAACTAGTGTTTAGTGTGGTGTTGATGTCCTAGGGTAAAATCTTTGTCATTCTGACATTCACAAACCCCTCCCCCTCACCTCACCCGCAGCAATGACCCACCCACTCACCCTATGTTAAAGTTTGTTAGAAGAATCTACTCAGCCAGCTGTTTAGGAGGGGACGCTCTCAGGGAAATGGGCTTAAGTACACAGCAACAGAGAAGACCACCTCAGTTACTGAGATTGATTAACCTGTTTTGTCATTTCATAAACAGACGATCAGAAGCACCAGAGTTATGAAGACAGCAGCATGAGAGAGACAAGATAAGCAGAATAAGTGAACCCCAGAGAAGACAAAGTTGTTATGAAACAGTAGAATCTTTAAAAATTCTGATTATATCCTTAGAACGATCTGAGAAGATATGACATCCATAAAATAAGAACAGTTTCTAGTGGAAAGGAGCAATTGGAGAATAAGAAATAGCTTTTGAAAATTAAACATATGATAGCTTAAACAAGATATTCAAGAGACCACTTAGAAGATAAAATCAAGAAAAGCCCCCAGAATGTAGAGCAAAAATAAAGAGATATAGAAAAATATGACAGAAGAAATAAAAGACAAAGAGGATCAACCCAGGAGGTTCTTAGGATGGAGAATGCTGGTCGTCCTCCAAAATCTGTGTACCCATTCTTTCTGGGCACTTGGCTAAACTACATTTTCCAGCCTCCCTGGAAAGTGATATGACTTATGTGCAAATGAGCAGAAATGGTATCTGCCATTTCTGGGTCTAGGCCTTGGGGAAGAAAAGCAAGCGTGCTTTCATCTCACTTTCTTTCCCCTTTATGCCAACTGTAACTTCCATGCACCCAGCTTTGATGGTTGCAAAGTATAGGGCATACAATAAACTATACAAATGCAATTCACTAGTATAAGATTAAGGAGCCCTGGTGGTGTAATGGTAAGCACTCAGCTGCTACCTGAAAGGTTGGCGGTTCAAACCCACCCAGCAGCTCAGCGAGGGGGAAGAACTGGTGATCTGCTTCTGTAAAAATTACAGCCTAGGAAGCCCTATGGAGCAGTTTTTCTCTGTCGCATAGGGTCACTATGAGTCAAAAATCGACAACACCTAACAACAAAAACAACAACAGAATAGGGTTACCAGATGAAATACATGATGCCCAGTTAAATTTGAATTTCAGATAAATAACAAATAATATTTTAGCATAAGTATGGTTAATGTTATGTGTCAACTTGGCTAGGCTATGATTTTCAGTGGTTTGGCAGATATTATGTAATCACCTTCCATTTTGTGATCTGATGTGATCAGCCAATCAGATGAAAGGGGAGTTTCCTTGGGGGTGTGGCCTGCCTCCAGTACATAAATACATGTTCTGGGAAAGCTCTTTCTCTTTCTGGATGCTGTACTCTTCTCATTGCCTGACCTCTGGTTCTTAGGAAATAAGCCTGCAGAAGTCTCTAGTCTGCTGCCTGACGTGCAGACTTTGAATTTGCTAACCCCTGCAACTTCACGAGTCAGCAGAGGCCTCCAGCCTCTGCCTGACCTGCAGATTTTGGGTTCATAAGCCCCTGCAATCACATGAGCCAGCAGAGGTCCTCAGCCTGTTGCCTGACCCATGAATTTGGAACATAACAGCCCCTACAATTGTGTGAGCCATTTCCTTGAAATAAATCGCTCTATATTTATATATATATGCTTCACTGGTTTTGCTCCCCTAGGGAACCCAAACGAAGATAGCATCCTAGTAGATGACAGAGCAACAGGATA